TATCAAAATTTGTCTTCAGACTTCAAGAGGAATTGTTTCAATTGTATCTCCACTAAGAGTATCATCTGTGTCATTTCTCTACTTTTCAGGCATATTGATTGAGTCATTGGCTCAGTTTCTTCGAAATTCCGGCTGCACAATAATTTTTCTTTAGAAACTTTCTTCCACTTTTACAGCTCAAGTAGTCATGCATTTTTTTAATCCCCACCCAGCTTCCAGATCAGGATCTTTATAAAATTTGCAACAATTTCGCCATTTGCAACTACATAGTCCAAATCAGTCAAATTTTGCTCAATACCACAATGTGTTGAACCGCAAAAGTTGAAACGTTGTTTGAGCATTTGGGATAAACATTGCAAATTTGCTATCATCACCTCTCGCCATTAGCACCCAAATATCACATTTATCAAATATTTACCATGAGATCAAGCGACAAACATTTCACTGTGATTTATAGTGCCAACTATAGAATCGATGCGATCGTGAGCTCGGAATAAACACATTGACCTTTTCGAGCAAATAAACAAAACGTAAAAGATGTGCCAGTAACTTCTTAACCTTGCGATATTATTTTCAGACATAATTTTTATCTCGTACGATAATGAAGAGTGAATGTGCTTTTACGCGTCTTGAATCTCACGCAGATGTTATTTTCGTAGCCAATGTAGTTTTTGCGTTTAACAGCTTGCTGTGGAAAATATCAGTTGTTTTTGCTTAAAAAAACACTGTATTTTTTGCTCATTTGGACTCGGCAAAGGTCAACTGGCTTTTCGTATTAATATTTAAGCGTTCCAAATATTGAGAGAATATTAAACATTAATGGTGCTCGAAGGTTCAAATGATCCAAAACACTGCCAAACCTAGATTTATAGCGACGAATTCGGCATTTCTGTATAAATATTTAGTCTCATAAACGGCCCAGTAAGTTCACCATTCTGTTTACAAGAGCTGAGATATAAAATTGTAATCATTAAAGAAAATAAATAAAGGACCTCCAGAGTATCTAATCAAGATTTTTTGCTGCTTTACATCTTTCGGGTGGACTGTTTTTTGTTATTATCACATTTTAAGCACCAGATTCTTAACAATTACCACCATCTTTGTTGGTAGTTGATTATGCTTTATTGGGTGTTTTGTTAAGGCGATTTGGCAGGAAGTCGCCCGATTTAATTCAAATCAGGAAACCGATGTGAAAGTATACGCAAACAATACACAACCCTAATTTAAATTTCCGCTTAGTCCGCAACGTTTCCAACTATTTACAAAATGGCGCCTTGAAAGAAAATCAAGAAGGGATAAAAGCATATTTGTATGCAAATGGGCCATCTTGCAATTCTATTATAAAAGGCAATCCCGAGGACAGCGCTTAATTTCCAACTAAATTCGAAGTAATTTGGCTAATTGTCGCCAATATTCCTAAAGAGTTCAACTTTCCAGAAGAGCCGTAATACAAATTAAGGCTTCGTTAATTGAGAGGTTTCAGTTATTTAATAAACTTCCAAGTTTTGGATGGCCTTCCAACTTTGTGCAAGTGAAAAGATAAAAACGACGCTTTCCTTTCAAGTCGCTCAAATCATAATGCTGATTGTACCAAGAAGTAACTCTTGAGAGTTTAGGCAAAATTACCATGCTGTGGTGAATATTTGAAATACTTCAAAGCCCTTTAGTGTTTGAGTATGTGGCAACACGTTTTGGAAATTTAATATTTTCCAAATTCCGAGCAAAGCAGCGTCTAAATGACTGCATAAAGATGTAAAACTGACTGAATAACAGTTTTAATTTAGGCTGCAATTAACACACTAAACATCTCAACTAGAACAAAGCTCAGTACCTGCTGGCATGAAAAAGGCAATTTAAACTAATATAGTTACTGACAAAATATGGGCGCACTTAAATTCCAAGGAGTCACGGCAATATTATACAGAACTGCGCAACAACTTTCCAGTAATAACAAGATCTTTATAAATATCTGATCGTGTAAATTATTTACAACATTTTTATGGGTTTACGTAAAATGACGGTGTGCTATTGACCTAAGTCAATACTTTTCATATTTTTAGCTTCTGTTTGTAGTCCGGTAAAAGCGTGGGCCGTCTCAGCTTTATTGCAAGCTATCGATAATAATAGAAAATCATTAGGTTCTTGGATACGTCATAAATTGCTTGGATCCGAGTAAAAAAGTCATAATGGAAAATTTAACGATGCCACTTTTTTCTCCTGGTTTCTCTTTATTACCCAGAAATATAAACATTCACGAGGTCTGCACGTGATTCAGGTGCAACATATTTGACTGGAAAATCGTCAGTTCAGATGTGACGCGTTTTTTACTGTTTCATGGAAATTTATTGTTCGCTTTTTTACAATTTCAATTTAACTTAGTTCCTAATCTGAAGCGGCAGCTATTTAATAGGGCAACGAAGACGATGTAAAACAACACCGGAAAAGCGATCAAAACAACAATAATTGAATAATGAAGAAAACCAAGCAGGTTCTAGCTTGATTCAAGTTTAAAATAAAAAATCCCGCAAAACTAACCAGTTTCAGTCCCCGCCAACGAATGTCTATTTTTTTGCCGAATCAATTGCTGGAAATGGTGAGTTTTCTGGTTTTTCTTTGCAGAACTCCCCAGTTTCAACAGAAAAATCATTATTAGAAACAAATGGCATTTTTAGGCTTCTGAGCAATAAGTACATTTAAAAATAGAGGCATGTGCATATAAGCCGAGTAATTACGGATTTATTATGAATTATATGCGAACCACCGTGGCGCATTTTCTTTGAGAGGAACATTAACAATCTGCAAAAATCCCTACCGGCAATCATAAATTTGTCACAGACTTTTACCGAGAGGATCTCCCGTTCGTTTTGCACTGTCAAAGAAAAAATCCCAAGCAGTTCATTTTCTTCCATTTCAAAAGTGTCACGAGGACCGCGTCTCAGTAATGAACACCGAAATACGCGAAATAAATTTAAAAATAACACTTTAAGAGTGTCTTAAACTTATAATTGGCCGACAGCCCACCGCAATAAAACAATTTTTGCACGTAGAATATAATTAAACACCGAAAAAACGACTAACGTGTTTGCCAAAATTACTTTCGGGCATCATCATGTTCTCTTTTACGGACGCGAAGAAAAAATCAATTTAAAGAGAGTATCAGCACTTAAACTGGTTTCTTGTTTATCATCGCTTCTGGTTTTCGTGTGCTAAATGAACAGCCTATGGACGTAATTTAATGTATGTATGGAGTAGTGAAGAGTTCCCGTGTCTGACTTCGTTTCGTTTCAGTTAATCAAAAATAAATTCACTCGAACCATGAAAAACCATCTGGTTTCATTTTTTACCCAAATTAATTTTACTTATTTCGTAAACGTTCCGCAGCTAGACCGCATCTTCAAAACTAACCGCCTAGTTTAATGCAATTTGATCTCATTCTGTAAAAGCTTGCATTTCCCAGGTCTGCTATTAGCAGAAGTCGGCAGGTTTCAGCTTCCAGAAAGGAAGCGCAAGATGCAGCAGATTAGAGTGTGTTTTTCGCTATATCCATAACACAAAAATCAACATTTAAGGCGCGTCGTTTTGCTTCTTTAAAGTTGCAAATTAGCAAGCGGTGACTGGTTTGTACTGAACGGCCCTGAAATGTTCTTAAAGATTTGAAATTTTCAGTATTTCAGTTACCAGGGTTTACACAGGGAAAAATATCAAAAACCTTTGATCAATAAAAACGGGGAAATTGAAAGGTCTTCAATGCAGAAAAGTTTGTTAATTTTTGCTCTTAATGCCCATACTTGCAGATATCGCCCGTTTAGGGTTGAAAATCGACCAAAAGAGTTGCTGTGTTTTCTCCCATCTAATTCACCTAGTTTCTGTTTGGAACAACTCTGGTCAGGTGATATAATTTTCTTTTTGCGCTCAAAGCACATCAAGTGTAGCGATTGAAGGTAATTGATGTTTATAAGCCGCTTCCACATTCTATCTTGTCTAAGCAAATCCGTTTTGCATTGGAAACAAAAAAATTGGATAAAGAGTAAGCAAATTGTAGGATCGATCAGACGCATGTCCACATTCCTAGGAATACATCAGGTTGAACCAATAGGAATTAATCCAATGAATTCCGTCGATATGAGCAAAGAAAAACCCGGGCAAATATGAGATAATGTATCCACAATTGCGTTAATCTTTTTCTACCGCATGTTTCAACCGATACTATCATAATTAAAAATGAATATTTCTGTTCGATGCCGCTTTGCGGCAAGACAAGTAATTGCGGCCGGTAGACGACCGTACAAGCTAAATTCAAGGAAGCCTTCAATTAAACAGTTTACTAATTACGTACCTGAGCAGGCCGAGTAATAGAATATATAAATTCATGTACATTCAATGCGATGAATTTCTTACGGCTTGTAAGTTATGCAAAACGCTTCAATTAGCTCTATCAAACCGTATACTCTTTGCTCCAATTTTGCGGGTTTTTCAATAAGAACGGAAATTGAAACTGCGGTCTAAAAGCGCGAAAAACTTATGTAAATTCACCGTACAAATTCTTGGCATAAAAAGTTGTCCAAACAGACTTTTCTAAATAGTAAATTTGGAGAAGACCGCAATCGGCCTTATAACAAGCTGTTAGATTATTGCATAGAGAAAAACGCCCCTTTTTATTCAAATCTCTAGTTGGTTCCGGAAGGGGAAGTCTCCCAAAAATCCGGCTTTAATAGGAGCAAGACGACGAAGGCATCCTTCCACGTCCGTATAATAAACTGGAATAAAAGCGAAAAATTAAATGCGTCTTTTTACGACGTCTTAAGCGGTTTGTCCGATGAACAGTAAAACGTCAACTATTCAGAGAAAAATACGACCAATTAAAGCGAAACGAGGGCAAACTCTTAACAAATAATACTGACGCCCCGAAAAAAAATTTTAAAGCTTTGACCGATCGCTCTTAATATATTCTCACAATGAGGCACATTTCTGGCTTGATTACCCATTCCTTTTCAGACTTTTAAACCGGATATTGTTGTTAGGGCTTGTAAGACTGATAGATGATGACTATGCACGTCAAGATATTAAAAATCATTGCGCTGCATCCAAACTACTGTCGAAACGAGCTTGAGATTCGACTGATTTGGCCGGACTCGAACACCTGTGAATGCATCTGGTATGTGACGTGATTAGTTTTTCATGTTGCTTTTTATGCTTTAATTTCAGTGATACATCAAATGTCCCCATAGATATGTTGCCCGATTCAGGTATTTATGGGCATTAAAATGACTGATCGAACTTTGCTCTGACGCATTTGGTGGCCTCTATGAACATTTGGAAGGACGATAGGTTCGAACTACTTTGATGGACCCAATGTGTTTAGTTCGGCGATTTGGAAATTTTTGAGTCGGAAGACCATAGTTTAACTTTAACAGAAATGAAGAAACCGGGTTTTTAGACAGAGCAGCAAAAAAACTAAAATACTAAGCCAACTAAATGCCTATTATTTCACATCGACTGTTTTTTAAATAAAATTGAGCAATTTTACAGTCACTCTTTTAATGTATGCTGTGTTTTTCCATACGAAACTTAAACGAATTTGCCCTTGCGATAATCAGTTCGGAGTTTTGCTCCAGATCCTATGGGTTCAGTGACGATAAATTTGAGTAGTTGAAGCAGACAAACGTAAATTGTGAGCCTGAGACGTGATTGTGGTAGATTTCGGGCAAGAATGACCAAGACACTGATCGAATGGTCAACGAACTTCTTCAGAAAAACAAATTACGTATTCAGCTCGTATCGAACCTGCATGGGTCATTGTCACGTTGGCAAGATGCACCGCTTCATTTTTTAGTCGCGAGCAGTGTTTGCCGATTTGAATGTCGCGAAACTTGCATGAGGCAATTTATTTGGTGTTTTACATATTGCCTCTCGACATGCACCGCGTTCAATTAAGAGCGCGGGGTGTGACTTATACGCGCAAAATGGAAACGCGAGCATGACTTTGAAAAATAATTTACACGAATATGACACCCCAACACGTATGCTTTTATCCGAAACGGTGATGTATGCTGATGTGAACAGGAAAAATGGCTAATGCGCCATTTTGATCTTATCGTTGCACCAGCTCGAGATTTCAAGCTGGCTGTGGCTTATTTGGTGCTAATTTCCGACCAACAAAGCCTCGTCCTAATCGTTTCAACAAATTAATCATCCACGAGCAACGAAAACAACAAAAATCTGAATAGGAAAATGTTAGAATACGACTATAATCAAAATGCTTTTAATATTATCAATATACGTTCAGCCATATAGTATGGACCACAGTGTACCACAAAGCCATATCGCTTAGGCAAGCATAATTTTCTGTTTATCGCGAGAGCAACCTTTTTAGTCAGTCGTCGTCAAATCGCTGCTGATGCAGAGTCGTTTTCGTGTTCGGAAATCTCCTTTTGTACTGGGTTGTTCTTTATCATTTATCAATATACTTTTATTCATACATTAAGAGTGTGTCCACTTTATTCCACCAACAGGTTATGGGCCCAGGACCAAACACTCTAGAAATTGTGTAGACATTTCAGTAGTGCGTGAGTAAAGTGATAACTGCTGAAGAATAATCGAAGTGCAAAAT